ATAATCACCAACATTATTCCTTAGGGTTCTTAACTATATTTATACTATGAAGGAGCCCAAAACCCTATTCTAATTATTAAGGCCCCTACATTAAACACTAAACTTTACACCCTAAGCCCGAAACCCTAAACACTAAGCTGCCCCTTTCGCCTCCAACCCAAACTCTCCGCTAAGGACTCCCGTCTCCAAGAAGCTGGAGGCAAAGTGGGAGCAAATGCGAAGCCAGCGTCTGGAGACTGGCTTGCATCTGTGAAGGTTTTGTGTTTAGGGTTTAGGGACTTAGGGCTTACAGTTTGTGCTGAGGGGCACAACATCATTTCACTACATCGTTGAGAGATTTGAGGTCAAGGACATGTGGGATTGGGATTCCTGCCTACTAGGGTTTGTACTAGGCTGTCCAGATGTTCCGAAAAGAGACACGGTGTGTTACCTTAGCGACCGTTATGGGAACCCCCTACACTTGATATGATAGTTGCCCGATATAGCACCCCATAGCTGCCCTTGTAGGAATCCTTGCAGTAGCCCTGATGCCCAGGAGAAGGTTGTCAAGGAAATTGCTGAGATTGTGAAAAACACCGCCGAGGTCGCCAAACTTTTGGAGGCAGCTCGCCGCAACCTAAACCCCAAACCCCAAACCCTAAACACAAAGCGTTTCGGGGTGATGTCAGCCCAAGGCATTGCAAGAAATCGTGGCCAAGTTGGACGCCGGGGCCTCTGATCAGGAATCTTCCATCGGATCATATCAGTTTCGGTCAACCCCGAAATCCTAAATCCCAAGCCCTAAAACACTAAACCCTAGCCTTAAAGCACTAAGCCCTAAACCCAGAACCCTAAACTCTTAATCCCTGAACCCTAAACCCTAAACCCCAGAACCCCTAAACCCTAAACCCGAAAATCCTACTCCCTAAACCCTAAACCCGATAATCCTAAACCCTAAGCCCGAACATCCTACTCCCCAAACCCTAAACACGATAATCCTAAACCCTAAACCCGATAATCCTAAACCCTAAACCCGAAAATCCTAACCCCTGAACCCTAAACCCGAAATTCCTAATCCCTGAACTCTAAACCCGAAATTCCTAATCCCTGAACTCTAAACCCGAAATTCCTAATCCCTGAACCCGAAATTCCTAATCCCTGAACTCTAAACCCGAAATTCCTAATCCCTGAACTCTAAACCCGAAATTCCTAACCCCTAGACCCTCAACTCTCAGGCGCTTCTTGCTGGTTCTGTGACGCCCGAGATCGTGAAGCGCACGCTGGTGCAAACGAATGGGCCGGTGCCTGAAAACTCACGGGTTTAGGGTCTAGGGGTTTTGGGTTTAGGGTTTAGGGGTTTAGGGTTTAGGGGTTTAATTAGGGGTTTGGTCAGGGCCCCTGGGATGTAGGATTTTGCTTAAGGAACGCAGAGTCCTTAGGCGCGAACAACGCCTCAAGCGATGAAACCGGCCCTGCCAGATCCTAAATCCCAAAACCCTAGCCCCACACCCCCGAAGCACGAAGCCCCAAAACCTACACTTTGAAACCCCCCGAGAAGCTTAAAGCAACCCTCTAAAGGAAACCGCAAGAGAACCACTGGCTCCACTTTGAGTAGTTGTCAAAATCATGGTCCCTTTTGGGGTACCCTATAAATTATCGATGCCGTATTATAATAAGGACCCCTAAACCCTAAACCCTAAACCCTAAACCCTAAATAATCGGTGCCGTATTATAATAAGGACCCGCATTTTGACAACCACCCACTTGAGGTTTGCCTCTGCGAAGTTCTTGAAGGGCTTCCCTGGCCTTCTTCAGCAGCTTGGTTCCCCAATACCCAAGCTTTAAACTTTTTGGGCTTAGGGTTTAGGGTTTAGGGTTTAGGGTTTAGGGTTTAGTAGTAATCTGAAAGTTTAACCTTTTATTTCCCTGGCTTATTGGCGAAGTAAGGCAGGAGGGGCCAGCAAGCCTCCCCTCAGTGTGCCTTGGCCGGGCCTTGTGAGGACGGTGGTTTAAGACACCTCCCAATGCCCCCTTACCCAAAGAAGAGGTCTCTCACACATTTATAGGGGCCTCAATAATTACCAACACAATTTTGGGGGTTCCTTATTATAATTATAGTAGAAAGAGCCCCAAAACCCTATTCCTACATTATGGGGTTTAAGACATTCTGCCAAGACCAGCAAGGGTTGTCGTCCTGTCACAGCGGCAGCAATCAGTCGATTCGGATGTCGTCGAATCTGTAGGGAGCTCTGGCCAAGGCGTGACGTGGTGGCACAGTTCGATGACCGCTGCACAAAGCTCGCTGCAGCTGCGCAGCAATGTCGACGCTTGTGTGCTAGTGCTGGTGTCGTGTGGCGCGTGTTTGCTGTGCTGATGTGGTCTCCCAGAGAAGCCAATACCCCTTAACTAAGGAATATACAGAAAATCATAATAATAATAATAATAAGGGTCCTATAGTTTGAGGCGAGGTATATTCCTTAATTAAGGTATATTGGGTTCTCTGCGCCGATGGCTGCCTTGGTTGGCACTGCTGCGTGAAGCTCTCAACACGACTACTACTGTAAGCGCTACACTTCGAAGCCTCCACCCTGATACTACAGGGGCCAGGGCTCCTTATTGCAGTTATGGTATCATTTACCCCAACACCCCAGTCTAATTATTAAGGCCTTATTTGAATTATGGTATAATATACCCCAAAA